TTCGAAATTCAATTAAAAAGCTTTGATGTCCAAATACTAACCTTCAAGAATTATTCTCTTCTAAGCCACAGATTTTCCTGGCCTCTGGCACTTAATGTTTTTTTCTTATCTTTCTGTTTGTTTTGCTTTTGCTACAGTTTTTATAAAGTTGTGCATGCAAGTAACATTGGCATTTTGCATTTGTGTTGCTGGCGTGTGAGATAAAGGATGGGGAAATAACACTTTTGGAGCTGATTAAGACCTTCATCAAAAGAGGGGATTTGGGCCCTTTTCCTGATGTTGCTTGCAAGATTATTTGCAGAAAACTTGAGATTTGAAGAAGACTGCTCCATATCTCGGCATCAGGTTCCCTGATACACAACGAAAATAAAATAGGAATGAAACCAAGATACGATTGGCAAGATACGATTGAGTTGCTGAGATGGAAGAAATGGAAATTAACTTCTTCCCCAAAAATTATAACGGGAAAACAGGGCATGTTTGAGTCTGAGAACAGGTGACGTGGTGAGATGGATGGAATGAGATAACTGTCTGATGGTTGGGCCGGTCCTGTTGGATCTGGTAACAGTGAATTCCATCAGGCACTGTGTGAAAAATGACTTCCTTTTGCATTTATAAGTGTACTATTAGTCAGCTGCGTTGGTGACTCAACTACTGTGTGACACCTTACAGTGTTTTAGAATTCCCTATCCTGTCTTTTTCAACACATCTCCTTCTCCATCTCTCTCTTTCTCTCCCTCCCTCCCTCCCTCTGTCTCTCTCCCTCTGTCCTCTCTCTCTCCTCACTCCTCTTTCTCTCCCTCCCTCCCTCTCTCTCCCTCCCTCTCTCCCTCCTTGCCTCCCTCCCCCTCTCTCCCTCCCCTCTCTCTGCCTCCCTCCCTCTCCCTCCCCCTCCCTCTCCCTCCTTGCCTCCCTCCCTCCCTCTCCCTCCCTCTGCCTCCCTCCCTCCTTCTCCCTCCCACCCTCTCCCTCCTTGCCTCCCTCCCCCCTCTCTCCCTCCCCTCTCTGCCTCCCTCCCTCCCTCTCCCTCCCACCCTCTCCCTCTCCCCTCTCTCTCCTTCCCTCCCTCTCTCTCCCTCCCTCCCTCTTCCCTTGAAATTCCTGATTGTTTTACTATATATCCCCCCCTTCTTTAATGCTATGCTTCTTTTCCCATCATATTTGAGATTGTGAAGTGATCTTGTAGTCTGTGCACTGGGGATCCCCATCATGTGTTGTGACATTGGTCTTTATTCCCAACCTGTTCTCTTTCTGTTGCCATGGTGACACCATACAGGTAACCCTCAACTTACAACCATCCGTTTAGTGACTGTTCAAAGTTATAATGGGACTGAAAACAAGTGACATGACCGTGTTTCACCCTTACAGCATCCCCAGGGTCACATGATCAAAATTCGGATACTTGGCAACTGGTTCATATTTATGACGGTTCCAGTGTCCTGGGATCATGCAATCCATTTTTGCGACCTTCTGACAAGCAAAGTCAATGGGGAAGCCAGATTCACATAACAACCAGGTTGCTAATTGAACAATTGCAGTGATTCATTTAACAAATGTGTCAAAAAAGTCACAAAATGGGGCAAATCTGCCCCTGACCTTCGCACCTTCTGCCGTGAATTGAAAACCTGGCTATTTATGACCCCCAGCCTGGACTGATGGGGTAGTATATTTTAAAATTTTTAAAACTTTTCATATTTTTGTGTATATTTGTTGATTTTAACAGTTGCTTGGTCGAGTCCTTGGAGATAGGGCGGCATACAAATTTTATAAATAAATAAATAAATAAATAACAACTGTCTCGCTTAGCAAGAGAGATTTGGGGCTCGATTGTGGTCGTAAGGTGAGGAATAGCTGTACTTGGTTTGCTCATCCAATGAGCTGCTCTGAGAACTCCAGTTTGTTCAGCCGGCTGGGCCTCCTCCCAAGCTTGGCATCATGAATTCTGGTTAGCATTTCAAATATTGGGTGGATCCCCATTGCTTCCCTTTGCAGATCACTCTCTCCTCCCTTCCACCGTTAGACCAAACATCAAAGAAGGTCCCCTTCTCTCCTCCCCATTTGGACGTGATGTTTGCCGTGAGAAGAAACGGAGGGATTAAATAATACATTCTACCCAGCAGTGCTCAGTCAGTTGAATGTTAGCGAAGAAGAAATATCTATATATTCCTACTGAGACAGGCACGAAAGCGCCAGTTCTTGAGAAATCTTTCTAGTACACTGATCGTTAAATGTAAATGAGACCCTGTCATTAAAATCTATAGATTCACAGTGGTAAATGACAAATCACATTTACCACTTCGCTTAATGCACTATTCTGTGTTTATTTGTTAAAATATCTGGCAGTTTTGTTTTTGTTCTTCAGGGCTTTGAGGAGCATTTTTTTCTGTGGGGGACCCGCCACCCCTGGACATCTTCAGTAAAATTTAATCTCTTACCTTCTGCTGAAGTCGTTTGGGAATGAGACTCTGCTCCTGTGCAAAGCAAGGCCCTCTCGTTCTTGTTCTGATTTAGCATCTTGCAAAAAGTATTCGGCGCAAATGCGATTTTAACCTGGGCAGCTGGTAAAACTGTTGAAAACTGGGAAGTACATGTAGTCCCCGACTTACGACCACAATTGAGCCCAAAATTTATGTTGCTAAGCAAGACATTTGCTAAGTGATTTTTGCCTCATTTTATGACCTTTCTTGCTATAGTTGTTAAGTGAATTGCTGCAGTTGTTAAGTTAGTAGCATAGTTGTTAAGTGAATCTAGCTTCCTCATTGACTTTGCTTGTCAGAATGTCACAAAAGTGATCCCAGGACACTGGAACCGTCATAAATATGAACCAGTTGTCAAGCATATGAATTTTGACCATGGGGATACTGCAAATGATCGCAATTATAAACAGTGGTCATAAGTCACTTTTTTCAGTGCCATTATAACTTTGAACTACCTGTATATCAGTGGTGAAATCCAAATTTTTTTACTACCGGTTCTGTGGGCGTGGCTTGATGGGCGTGGTGTGGCTTGGTGGGTGTGGCTTGGTGGGTGTGGCTTGGTGGGCATGGCAGGGGAAGGATACTGCAAAATCTCCATTCCTATCCCATTCCAGGGGAAGGATACTACAAAATCTCCATTCCCACCCCACCCTGGAGCCAGCCAGAGGTGGTATTTGCCGGTTCTCCGAACAACTCAAAATTTCCACTACCGGTTCTTCAGAACCTGTCAGAACCTGCTGGATTTCACCCCTGCTGTATATAGATATCTGAGGGGTCCTTAGTGCTCTCAGAGCTTGGTTGCTTTCTTGCAGACATGTCATTACTCAGTGTTAGTCAACTAACACTGATGATGTTATCTACTTTGGCTGATGAAACGTCTGCAAGAAAACAACCAAATTCAGAGACCACCAAAGACCCCTCATGGCAAACCTTAAGCTACAAATATTCTCCTTTATTAGATAGAGATCTGTTCCAAGCGAGAAAAAACATGGAATTATTAGCACCGAAATAATTATATAATATGGATAGTCTTGACTTCTTAACTGAAGGGCTTCCCTTGTTGCTTAGGACAAAGACAGTGGCGTTCTCTTGAGGAGGCTCCTCTGTGGTCATTTATTTCATGAATTGAACTTCTGGACCACCCCGTTGTAAACCATATGGAGTTGAGATTAGCAACAAGATTGTGGTTATTACCTTTGTGACCTTCAGCTTGGTTTCACAACTGGTGCATTCTGGTATTATCAGGAGCGAATTAAGGGAACAGATGTAGTTACTGTATAATTGCTCTTCTCAGGAGCCACGTCTAAAGAGAAGATGTTTTTAGCGTAGTAAGTTTTTAGACACCTAGATTTTCATTCTTGATTTCTTGCATACGGTGTACTTTGTGTTTTGTTCATATTTAGAATTTTTTGGGGCTTTGCTACATTTGTATAAAATCGCATTGACCAAGACAGCATCCCTTTGGAGATGTAGAAAGGACCTCCATGTATGTCTTAACAAATGATTTTAAAGTACCCCTGTTATACTTGATAAATTGACTTATGGTGTTCTGAGGTTTACAAACGTTATCATCTGTATTTCTGAACCTAGGTTACTCCCAGAATTCTCAAGCCAATATTGCTGTTGCTGGGAATTCTGGGGGTTCAAGCCCATAGATGTTTGGGTGAACCTAAATGAAAAGAGACCAGTGTGGTTTGTAGAGGAATCAAAGACGTGGCCTGATCCGCACATTGTACCAAACCATAATATTGCTTCTTTGACTTTGGTTTAGCATATTTTGTGTAGTTGATAAATTATAGCTTAATTCTGGGGTAAATCCATCCACTGTGACTTATTAAGCATTATCACAAAGAGGAACCAGGCCTGCCACTGGTAGACAAGGACCTAAGTTACAGAAATGTTGGTAGCTTGATGTGCAAGGTACCTTCTACAAGTAGTCCTCATTTAGCAACTGTCTCATTTAGTGACCATCTGTAGTTACAATGATGATCAAAAAGAAAATGTAGAACCAATCCTTGTAGTGACAATCTTCACAGCTCTATAAAGCAAAAGAGAGCTGAAGTCAGATGATAAGCACAGTTACGGTTTCATTTAACAACCAAGTGACTGGTCCCAATTGTGGTCATTCAGTGAGGACTATCTGTATTGAGCACTTTCCCAAAAGTTTCTCTTCTGTGTAGACCAGGGGTCTCCAACCTTGGTAACTTTAAGCCTGGCGGACTTCAACTCCCAGAATTCCCCAGCCAGCTTTGAATTCTGGGAGTTGATGTCCGCCAGGCTTAAAGTTGCTAAGGTTGGAAACCCCCACCCTCTAAGGGAGGTGCAAGTGATTGGAAGCTCTCCCTCAAACCTTTCCAGTTGGGGTCCATGCAAAAGAAGCAACCAGGGTGTGTTCACAGCCTTTGGTGAACCTTCCAGCAGGGATTCTGATTCCCTAAAATTCTCCAGGCTGGACTTTAATGCAGTGGATTCCCTGGGCAGCTAACAATAGTTGCCTTCAAATAAAACAGAAGCAAAAACAAATAAGAGATTCTTATTTGTTTATACAGGGGTGATGATGATGAGTTTGAGAATGAGGAGGAGGAAGCTAGGAATCTTAAACGATCAGAGCAGAGTTACAATTAGATAAAGGTAGAGAAACATCAGCTTTCAAGTCAGGGTTGTGAGTCCTGAAAGTTAATTGGAGGAAGAGAATTGGGCATCACACAGCTACATGAATTGGTGCAGTGTCTCCAGCCTCTGGGCCCAGCACCTGCAGATCCTGGATGTGTTTGGCCATTTTAAAATTTTCCTTTATGCTCTGAGTCCCTCTCATGACATGATTAGCCCCAGGGGTGCAGTTGGCCACCAGCTTTGGTCCAAACTTCCTTCTTAGAGAACCAGGACACTTTCGCCCTCCCTCTCATGGTCTGCACTTTAGGAGACTCCTAGCTTGTCTGAAGATACTTCAAGTCTCTCTACAGGTCTGTTAGGCTGAAAATGGGAAGCAATGAAACGAACGGTCCTACGTATCTGAAAGAGGTCAGTGGGAGTCGGGCATCCTTCCAAGCCACCCCAAAGCAGCTGTAGAGCAGAATTGCGCGTGAAGGTTGCAGCCCTTCTTAATGCAACAGAGCCCCTCTTCCATGTCAGCTTCGGGGACTGAAGCCCACTCCCTCTGCCTGCTTTGTTGCTCGGTTCCTTTCTCACCCTTCTCTCCAGCAAATCCCAGTTGCTCTCCAGTGCTCGGGACGAGGCATCTTTGAGGGTTGCCCTGGCTTGTTCCTCAGAAAAGGGAGGTGGGCGAAAGCTTCTCCCTCGCCCCGCTGTGCCTGGACTGGCTTGATTCGAAAGGGAGACGGTTTCCGTGAACACCAGAAGCCGCCTAATGAAAAGGTTCTGGAAACAATTAGAAACAAACCGAGACAGAATTATTTTGCAGGCTTTGGATTTCTCTCGCTCCTCTCCTCGGGCTCTTAAAAGCCCCACCCCACCTGGTGCATTTTAAATTGGCAATGAAGTATAATGAGAACAGTTCAAAATAACCCCTTCCGCCCACACAGGGTATATATAGAGATCAGATTTTCTTTGCCGGGCAGGCATTTACTGCAAGATGGCACATGAAAATGTGAACAAAACAGCCGCGCGTGATCTGGAGGACTGCATGCCGCAATGCTGGTCCTCTCTCCTAAGCCGTGTTGGAGCTCGGCGTGCAAGCTGCGTGCTGCTTTACCCTTTCTTTGTCACAGGCTGGGTTCCAGCAGCTAATGTCCATTACCATACACACACACACACCCTCGCACGCTCGCACGCACACACACACACACAGAGAACACAAACACTCTCTAATCTGCACTTAACGTTGGTAGGCTGGGAAAATGTCAGGTAGCGATTTAAAAACTAGTCCAAAAATGGATGGTAATTGCTTTCCAGCAGACAAGGGGCATTTTTTTCCCTTGTCTGGGCATCTTAGAACTTAAAACAACTTTTCTCCTCCCCCTCCTCCCCCTCCCCCTCCTCCCACACCCATGATAACCTTTTGGATAAAAAAATGGCAAGTTTGTCTGTCTGTCTGAGCACTTAAGACCCATACATACTGACAGAAGAGAATATTTCTAGCTTAGGGTTCAACTGTAGAGACCTTGGTGCACTCTGAGTTTGGCTGCTTTCTTGCAGGCATTTCATTATCCAACTCATCATTGCAGCACTGAAGATGTTACCTAGTTTGGTAATGAAACATCTGCAAGAAAACAACCAAGCTCAAAAATCATCCCATAGAGCAATACATCTCACTTCCATTGCCCTAATCTGGGGAGACATATGACTGGCCCTAGCTGCTTTAAGAGTCCTTACCTGTGCAATCTTGCCTGCGCAATCTTGTTCATGGAAGTGATTGAGAGGGGCAGCAAAGTACCTGCTGGTGTGGTGTGGTTTGAGCTAGGGAGAGGAACATCTGGGAGGTCTAATGCAGCTGTTGAGCTGGGCCCATCACTGCTCTTTCAACACTTGCACTTGGATGTGCTGTTTGGCTATCCTTCATTGACCACTGGTGGTCGAGAACAAGAGTTGCTAGGAAGAACGAGGCAGCCATCTCTGTTGGGAGAAAGTAGGAATCAGTGGCAGTGGGGAACTATAATACAGAGTCTGGTCCATGTTCTAGAAAATCCTTCCCAGTCATCACTTGAAATAAGCCCCCCTGGTCAGTCCTTTCAGCTTTGGTATCTGGAATTGGATGAGAAGAAGGTATTATTTATCCTTTTTTCTCCGGTCTTGAAGCAGCAGTGAGGAGAACCTGAAGGCCATCATATTCTATTCTATTCTATTCTATTCTATTCTATTCTATTCTATTCTATTCTATTCTATTCTATTCTATTCTATTCTAATTCTATTCTATTCTATTCCATTCTATTCCATTTCCATTCCATTCCATTCCATTCCATCCCATCCCATCCCATCCCATCCCATCCCATCCCATCCCATCCCATCCCATCCCTCTGTTCCATAGTCCATTTTCGGCCATAAAATGGCTTGTGGTTTTTCATGCCCATAATCTGTAAACCTGACCATGGTTTAATATTCTGGATGAATGTGAGTGAGAAAGCTATGAATGTAGATATGGGGATTAACCTATTTTCCAAAGCACCAAAAGGCAAGACAAAAAACAATGGATGGAAACTAAACAAGGAGAGAAGCAACCTGAAACTAAGGAGAAACTTCCTAACAGTGAGAACAATTAAACAGTGGAACAGATGTTGCCTTCAGAAGCTGTGGGTGCTCCATCACTGGAGGTTTTTAGGAAGAGACTGGACAGACACTTGTCTGGAATGGTCTAGGGTCTTCTGCTTGAGCAGAGGATTGGACTAGAAGACCTCCCAGGTCCCTTCCAACTCTGATATTCTGTTAAAATTCCAATTGGAGGAGAGGAAGACTTGGGAATTGTAGTGCCAACCACCAAAGTAAAGGGAAGGCAAGAAGAGAATGGCTGAGATGGATAGTATTCCTGCACAGATATAAACTCTGGAGACTGTTGTAAAGCACCCACAAACTCTGTGTTGGATTTAATTTCATAACACCAAAGCATGACTTAATGAGACAAAACTGAGATTTAATAGTGGCATTTGATCTTTGTTTTCATAGCTCTATGAAGATTTACAGGATGTACAATATAAGAATCCTTCCCTCTCTCTTGAGATTTCAGCAACATCTCAGTATAAAGAGTAAATTACTTTGGGGAATGATTTTATTTATTTGTAATTTATTTACTTATGACTTAATGTTGGTGATTTAATCTTAAAGGTTCGCTCTTTCTCTCTTCCTCCTTGCATTGTAACTAAGGCTGAAAGGAGGATAAAAGCTTTTGTCCAAAGACTGCCTTAAATAGTTTGTGTTACCCTACTTCTCAATTCTCTGGAAATCAAGCAATTTCAATCCATAGAATTTCTGCACTAGGGATTTAATGCTTGCCACTTTTTTGCCTTTCTTTTCGAATGAAAGAAATATTTTCAAATATTATTTTACTCCTGTCGGTTCTCCATATTTTATTCTGCAGTACAAGAGACCAATACAAGAAGTTGCTTATCCAGTAAAATGAGATGTAATGTAATGATTCTCAATCTTGGCAACTTTAAATTGTATGGACTCCCAGAATTCTCCTGCTAGCATGCTGGCTGGGGAATTGTGGGAGTTTATTTATTTATTTATTATATTTCTATACCGCCTTTCTTCCGTAGGACTCAAGGCGGTGTACAGTCAAGAAAAATATAGACACACAAACATCATAAAATTGCTAATTAAAATTATTACTTAGTTTGGTCAATTAAATAAAACCCAGAATTAGATAATATTTAAAAAATCATTCACATGTTCGTATGTTTAGCCCCGCCTGTTGGAACATCAGGGTCTTGAGGGCACGGCGGAAAGCACGGAGATCAGGGATATTCCGAATCTCCGGGGGCAGTTCATTCCAAAGGGTTGGAGCCCCCACAGAGAAGGCCTTCCCCCTGGGAGTCACCAGTCGGCATAATTTGACTGACGGTACCCTGAGTAGTCCCTCCCTGTGAGAACGAACTGGTCGGTGGGAGGCTATTGGTGGCAAAAGACGGTCTCGTAGGTACCCAGGTCCTAAGCCATGGAGCGCTTTAAAGGTGATAACTAACACCTTGAATCGCACCCGGAAGACCACCGGGAGCCAGTGCAGCTCGCGTAGGAGAGGTGTTACATGGGCGTAACGAGCTGCGCCCATAATCACCCGTGCGGCTACGTTCTGGACCAGTTGGAGCCTCCGGGTGCTTTTCAAGGGGAGCCCCATGTAGAGAGCATTACAGTAGTCCATACGGGAGGTAACTAGGGCATGAGTGACCGTGCGCAAGGTGTCCCGATCCAAAACTGGCGGATCAGGCGAACCTGATAAAAGGCATCCCTGGCCACGGCTGTCAAATGATCTTCCAAAGATAACCGTGAATCCAGGAGGACACCCAAATTGCGGGCCCTCTCTGTGAGGAGCAAGATCTCATCCCCTATTGTCAGTGATGGTACCAGCTGACTATACCGGGACGCCGGAAGCCACAGCCACTCGGTCTTGGAGGGGTTGAGTCTGAGCTTGTTTCTCCCCATCCAGATCCACAGTTGAAGTCCACACAGCTTAAAGTTGCCAAGGTTGAGAAACAGGGATTGAATGGACTGTGGTCTGTCTCTTTAAGGTATAACTCAAAGAATTCTCAATGGTTAGAAGGAATTAGAAGGAAACTGCAACGCTAGAAAACCATGTATTAATATTTATCAATCTGGAGTAAATTCCCCAAAAGAGTGATATTTGAAGATGCATGACTTTGGAAGTGTGATGTGAAAGTAGACAAGCACCGTGCATCCTAGTGGTTTATAGTAATGAGATGGAGAATTCTGGAGCTGATTGTTCCTCCTGGGCTTTGAGAAGTTATTTGGAATCTTACAGCTTTTTAGAAAAGAATTCTGGGAACTTTATTCCCAACCAAACAGTCAGCAATAGATCTTGAATGAAACAGAAAGACACATGCACACAAACAAATGCATGCACACTTATACAAAAATTCCCTTCTCACCTCATGGGTGATTTGTCTTCTTCAGTCTCGTGTTCCCTACCAGAGGCCTGGGAGTTTGAGGGTTCTTTGCAGTATCTTAGCTGTGTGTAGAACTGCCACTTTCTGGACAGAGAGCTGTGGCATTGTTCTTGCTGAGGAATCACAACCCCAAGTTCTCCCACCACCAGGATACCACTTTTAGAGCAGCTGGGTAGCACAGTGGTTAGAGTGCTGTCTTTGACGTGGGAGCGGGGGTTCAAATCCTGGCTGATACCTATCTTACCTGTAGGGGTCCTTGGGCATAGACCACCTACTGTGTTTCCCCGAAAATAAGACCCTGTCTTATATTTTTTTGAACCCTGAAATGAGCGCTTGGCCTTATTGCCATGTGTGGGTGTCTTATTTTGGGGAAAACAGGGTAACATTTCACCTGCCTAGGTGTGGCAGGTGAATATGAAAGTGACACAAACTAGGAGAATCATGCTGGCTCAGATGTTTATTTTTTTTAGTTTGATTTATATGCCGCCCTTCTCTGGAGACTAAGGGCGGCTTACAATATGCTAAGCAATAGCCTTCATCCTTTTGTATATTTTATACAAAGTCAGCTTATTGCCCCCACAAACTGGGTCCTCATTTAACCTACCTTAGAAAGGATGGAAGGCTGAGTCAACCTTGAGCCTTGGCGAGATTTGAACTTGCAGTAATTGCAGGCAGCTGATGTTAATAACAGTGCTTTAGTCTGCTGTGCTACCAGGGCTCTGGTTGTTACCCAGGTTAACAAAGTTGCATCAGATGTTGAGGAGCCCAGATAATGTGACAGTAAGTGGAACAAACAATGTGACAATGTGACTGGAACAAACCGTACATGGATGAGACAAATAACGTGAAATTGATATTTATATTATCTGTCTGTCTGTCTGTCTGTCTACCCACCCACCCACCTATGAATGAAATGCTTCCAAACCATGAAGATCTATTCTTATAATTGGGAACTGGATGGTATCCATAATGATTTAACTTGATTACATCAAGAGTGTCCACAAGGTGTGATTAAAAACAAAAACAAAATGATGTGATTAAAGCTGTGCCTGTTGATTATGTGCATTGCATACCAAAATGGACAAAGCTTCCATCCTACTGTTACCATCTTGACTTTTTTAATCTCAGCCTCTGGCTACTCTGGCTGTTTATGCAGTATTCTTATTCCTTATCATAATCTTTCAAGATTGCCAAGAAAGAATTTTTAGTGCACGATGGTACAATTTATGGCAGCCTTAAAAATAAGCACAGAGAAGAGCATCAATGATCAAGTCTGCTTTTGATTCTTAGGAAGGCTTAGTGTTTCTCAACCTTGGCCGCTGGACGATGGGTGGACTTCAACTCCCAGAATTCCCCAGGCAGCTCTGGGGAATTCTGGGAGTTGAAGTCCACCCATCGTCCAGCAGCCAAGGTTGAGAAACACTGGCTTAGAATATCTTTGGTCACCTTCTTATCGATAATAAGTAAGCTGAGTAATTTTTTACTTTTATTATGTATGTGAGGATTCTGCCTGAGGAGGCTGGACTCACCTTGGTGGTTGGTAGAGCGGAATTGACGGCTTGGTAGACTGGATGAACATAGAACAGATCTGGGCATTTCATGGTCCCCAGGCCACATCTGGCCCTTTGGCTGTTCCTGTCCAGCCCATGTGAGGTCAGTGGGAAATTAGAAATCAAATGGAAATAAGTGTATGTCGTACATGCAGTATATAACTGCATTGCTTTTTTTTTTTTTGAAGGTGACTGCTTCCCCACCCCCACCCCATTTACCTATGGGCGTGTGGGCGTGCCTATGCCTCTTTGCAGCCCTATTGGGTCGGCCCTCCACAACAACAGTCCCAGTTTCGCATGTGATCCCTTGGGAAAATTAATTTTCCATCCGTGACGTAGAACGTATGGCAACCTGGCCATGGAATGCTTAATTTCAGCGATGAGAAAAGTGTTTCCTAGGGCCTTAGCTTTCTCCAGTTATTTCTCTCTGTGCCCTTGATCTCTGGAA